GCATTGATGTTTGACACACCGTCTGTTACCACAATGGCAATGTTGTCTACATTGGGACGGTCTCCATTGGCTCTTGTAAACATTTCGGCCCTCATGGTTTGAAGGGCGTCTGCAGTGTTGGTGCTGCCATAGCGGTATGGGATATTATCTACTGCATTAAATACATCAGCCTTTGTTCTGTAGGTGTTCATTTGGAACTCAACATGATCTTCTGTACTATAGATAATCACACCCACCCTCACACTACCGCCATCAATGTCAGCTTCATACAGGAAATCTTTCACAAAGTCTTTCATTAATTCAAAATTGGGCTCAGTCACACTGGTGGAAGCATCCAGGACAAAAACCAAATCAATCTTTGCCCCAGCACAACCTGCAAAAATTGGATGAAAAGGACTTCCCTATTTATCAGCGGTTAAAATAAAGTTAACATTCGAGAAGCATTGCTATATCAATCTAATCTAGGGACATGGGTGCTGGAAAAAACAGTTATGTAAAAGCAATTTTAAAGCAAATTGTAAGTTATAAGTGATGTGAGAAACGTGTTGCTTAAACCAAGGCGAAGCCTAGAGGACACACGCATTCTTAGGGTCTATAACGGACACTGTGCAATTCTGGATGTTTCATATTTCACCAAGTTCTTTTAAAAGTCAGACCTTTGGAAACATTTTAGGGTCTGGGAGAAGTCCAGACGTTTCCAACATGAATGCTCCTTTCCACTCATAAAGAGCTTCCTGTATACAAGAAACGTTCACTATAGAGCCATAAGGCAGTCTCAAGTGAAGTCTCTGTAACACATTTAGAGACTGTTTACTACGTCACGTAGAAACAATTAGATGGGAAAAGGGGAGGCATTCTGATCTTTCTTTTAAAAAAGAAGTAAAGCATAAAACACTTCATATATACAGTGGAAGTCCTGAAAGTAGAGGTTTTCCATTCAGACTAGGAAATCTATTTATACTGACCAAAGTAGTTCTAAAACAAAAGAAAACTGTTTTATTATCTAGTTTGGAGACTTTTATGACATAAACAAGAACGCCGTGGAGTCATAGAGAAGAGCGAGAAATTGGGTTTGAAGCACTGCTATGATTACAAAAGATGACGGTGACAGCGCCAACAGATGTATTGGTGTTGATCACGACTTTTTCAGTTAAAAAACGATTCCTGTTTCCATAGGTGTTTAAACTAATCAAACTCATGCTTGGTAAAAAAAAGTGAGATATTAGACATAACTTCTATACTAAGCTTATAATATTATTTATTGTGCAGGGTGAAAAGCAGAGCTTGTCATGTGAATGTGATAGCATGAAGCGGTGGATGTAGTTGGTATGAGCAATTTTATAGCGTGTTGAGAAAGTAAAAATACATGCATGAAATGAATTAATAGTACTTCAAAAGAAGTCCGATCTTTTAGAGATTTCGATCTAAATCAAACCTTTGTGCAAGGAACAGGTGAGAAAATACCCAATAGGTTTTTACTTACTGACTTTTGTCGGGGCTGGTGTGGAAACTGTTTAAAAAGAAAGTAAAGAGCAAAAATTACATGATTTGTTCAATGTTGAAAAGAACACAATAGGAGACACGTTTGAAAGAAAAACAGTCAAACGGAACGAAAAGTAGAACACTATATTAAATTCCAAATAACACTGGAAGGGAAGAGGATGTAGAATACGAAAACATAACTATGCCAACAAAGAGTGTTTTAAAACACCAACACATTAAAAAAAAATAAAGTTGTACAGGGAACATAACAATTTTAAGATTATAATCATTCAACACAGAATAGAATTTACTATCTCAAGTTATTATTGAAATTTCGTTCAGCACTTTATAATGTAAAAAGCAAGGACATTCATCTTTCTTTTCAGGAATTATTTTAAAAATGGATGCTAAATTTGAATAAGCTTGTCTCGTCACCGTAGCTCATTTCTGGACTGTTAACTGTGTAAGAAGGAACATACAAACTTGAGCGAAGTGCTTTACAAAATGTGACTACTCTCCCATGACCTTCTTATACATCGGATTCTCTATTCTCTTTCCCTTGAATTTTAATGCATCTGACGTTCACCGTGAAGTTAGACGTGCAATTGTTGCCCTCCCAAATTCCCATGTCCCAACTTAATTGTGTAACTAGGTATACATGACTACTCATTCCATCATTAAGCTTTATCGTAACACTTGCAAGACGTGTTTCAACGTTGGTCTATCTGAAGAGTAAAGGTAACAGAACAGCAAACTAACCTGTGTCAAAAGTTAAAAGAATCAAGTTTTCTATGCCCTTAAGACTCAGAGAAGAACAATGACATTAATAGTTTATTAAATTACCTCCACAGAGGGCAGCAAATACATTGTGTCTCAGATCTCTCAACTCAGAAAACTCCTGTACGGCAAATCTGTTTTCATCAAGTGGTCTGCTGGCAATTCCATCCAACTCCCGTGTGTCTGTCAGACCAATACCAATGGCATAGATGTGGATGTTGTCTGCACGAGCTTGCTCTGCTTC